ATACAATATATTCATACGCATCCAATATTTCCAAACAAATCATTAAACTTAAACGAGATTTGCAGTAAACGATATTCTGTTAAAAATAGTATTATAACTTATTAACAATTAGATTCACGTGTAAATGCTAATAAGATTCGTAAATTGTGTTATGTTAAAATTTTAAAAATCAATCAATGGTATTATAACCTATTAACAAATAAATTAACGTGTAAATGCTAACAATATAATAGAAATACCTTAATTAATAAAACAGCAGAAAAAGTAGTTTTATTAAAATATTGGAGCAAATTTGCAATTAAAAATGAAAGTGTATTTCTTAACGAAAGACAGTATGAGAAAGACAATCTCAAGGAACAAAGATCAGTACGAAAATGGAAAGACTGGAAGGGGTATAAAAAAGGAAATATGGAAGGGAGTAACGAAACAAGAAGGAAAGAGATTATGAAGGGGAAAGTGATTGTATGATTTGTAAGTACGATTCTGGCAAAAATTCCATTTCTACCTTTCTGTTTAATCCCTGTTTTTGTTTTTTAATATATACTATTTCAGATAAAAGTCTTTTATTGTAGGATGATTCTTGATCCAATATTTTATCATTTGATTTGAAATTGTGGTTGTAATTAATACGATGGTCAGTTATCACTGTAGGAATACCTGTTTTTTCCCTTATATCTGAGATGTATTTATGTATTCTGGTTTTTAGTTGTCTTTTGGTTTGACTGACATAGCTTGCATCACAATCATCACATGAAATTTTGTCGACTATATTCTGATTCGAAAGTTTATCCAATTGATCCTTTCCTCTTCTGATAAATTTTTTTAAAGTATTAGGAATAGTAAAGGTAATTTGCAGTGAAATTTCATGGTTAAAGGTAGGAAACTTTCAGACATAGATTTCACATAAGGAATTGTAAAATATTTTTCTTTTGCTTATAGATGAGTACTATGTGTATTATTATTATTGTGGATGTGAAATCTTAATCTTTCATCAATTTTAGAAAAAACGAAAGAAAGGGGATAGTCATTATTTAGTAATGTGTGGATGGCATTTACTAAGTTCTTTTGATAAAAGCGGGGATGTAACAATTTTACCATCTATCATACCATAGACAATGCCTAATTTATAGTAAAAAGGGTGATGCGAATAAAAAATAAGGAACTTATATACTTTATGTACTTTCTGCCAGAGAAAGTATACATATATATATATATATATAAACCATTTTTAGGTATATATTTTTATTAAAATTTTAGGTGGGGGGGGGCTATTC